GTCTTTATTGTTCGGTAAATTAAATATTTTTGATAAAGGAATTAAAGTACTGTATTGATGGGCAGATTCTTGAAATACTGTCGAAATAATGAAAGGGTCATGGAATATTCTATTTGGGTACAATTTTTTGGCAATATTGGGATCTATGAATGACCTTGTGGAACCTGAATCAATTAAAATTTTTAAGTTATTTTCCGGAAAGATAATATAGGAAAGTGCGCTTGAGTTTGACATATTGAAAGAAATTATTTGGGTGTTTTGACCTACGAATTCTTGTTAGTCTTAATAAGTTCCTGAAAATTTTGGTTATATTCGATTTGGGGGAGTAACAAAGCTAAAAAATATTTACGAATAAAGGCTCTCCCAAACCAACGCGAATTATTCGCAGCGGATTCGTGACGGAGAATCCGCAGCAAATTTCATGGCGGATTTCGGAGAAAGTCTCACACCAAAGCGAACATAATCGCATCATTTACGTCAATTTTCAGTATCCAATTTGCTTGCGAATGCTAGTGCTAGTGTCGCTAGTGGTAAAAAAAAGACAAGTTTCCTTGCCTTAAAAAAATGTATACATCATCGGATGAAGAAAAAGCAATATTGTTCCTTGCAGTGCATATTTATTTATTATTTCCATGAATAAATAATGTAAAAAGTTTCAAATTACTATTTTCGCCTAGTTCTTCTCCTAGTTTAGTCCAAACCTTATCCCTTTTGCGAACATTTTTATAGTCGTCATGAGAAAGGTCAGTAGGGTAATTCTACTATATGACTAATTCAATAATTTGTTACATTTTAATTACTTTTCACTTTATAACAATGCGGAATTACTGCAAATCGGACCAAAAACGCATTCGATTGCGAACTGAGTTTCCGTGCGGATAAAAACGCAGATAAATCGCAGCCAAAGCGGAGAAAACCGCACCAGTTTGAACTTGTCTATTTACCGCAGTGAAAACAATTTGTTGCGAATCGGCTGCGGTGCGAATATTCGTAGGGGTTGCGAATTTTCCGCGTTGGTTTGGGAGAGCCTTAAACGTTTTTTATTATTAATAAATGATTATATAAATCAATTTCTGTCTGCTTACTGTTAATAAATATAAAGTAATGTTTAAGCCAGAAAAATAAAACAGAATTTATCATTAACGAACGTATATAAATATAGGGTCGAAGTTTCGGTTTGGCAATGGTTGTCCTCTCCAAATCTTGAGCCTTGCAAAAGTAGACAATGTTGATTCTACTTTTCGATGATCAGTTGGTTGATGATAATTCACAGATCTACGATAGATTGGAAGTTTTCTATATTCAGAAAGTTCACTCTGTTTCAACACCTCCGCCATGGTTACAACACTAGTTCCGTTTCCGATAAATCCAGTTGAAATGGAAAAAATCAATCTAATCGATTTATATTGATTTTCGAAAATCCTACCGACTGCGCCAATTAACTAACACGACCGGAGTTTTACCTTTTCAAAAATTTAGTATTACAATTAAAACTAACGGATTACAATAAGAGTAGTATAAAGTCTAGCTAAAAAACTAACTGCTCGCGCCTGGTTGGGATGTTCCTTATATCTAGGTTGAATATGCAACCTCAGCATGTATAGGGGATTGACAACGATATAACTCATGAGAACCGCCAGCCGATATTTCAATTTTTCTTCAATTTTAAAAATCTTGTTATTTTTCCAATATTCAAAATAGCGCAAAACGAAAAATCTTTCTTTAAGCAGTTTTTAATGTGGGGTCTAATTTTATGTCTATTTTTTTTTCAAATGCGTCGGTCAACAGATGCTGGTACTCACATTGCATTTACAATAGTTCCTATATATTAAGTTTTTAAAACAAAGGTTGCGCTCAAATAAAAAATAGACAAGACTTTTATCTCACACTTGATTCGTTACAAAACTCTATATTCCCGTCCAATATAGTTAACGGGATGGATTAACGCACGCTTTCCATCTTAGACATGTTATATAAATTATAATACTTACATGTTAATAAATCAAACTAAAGTGAGAGAATTAAATAAATCGCGCAAGAGAAATCTAATAATACCAGGTTTTATATTTCAATTTAGATTACTCTTCCTATTCTTGGGGTGACGTATATCCTTTAAAAATACTCTAGCACTTTGGTAGCAAAAAAGTTACTCATACATACATTTAAATTTTGCTTTCAATAAACAACATACAATGGAACGTATTTCAAAGTAATTTATCACCTTTTTTTTGTTTTTAAGCACAGGCTAATAATGGAAAAAAAAATACCAAATACCTTTCGGATATCCAATCTTGTAAACAGAAAGACGATTAGGTAGACTTTCAACATTCACCGGATAGTTAAAAATAGTCACATTTGAATTAATAAATAATAACCGTTCAAATTGTTTGAGAGGTCCCAATAGAAACCACTCAAACAGCTTTGTTGATTATTTGATTTCTGATGGCATTTATGAAGCCCTAAGCTATAATTCATTGTTGGGCAGACATATTGACCAACAAATACAATGATGAATGGGTGCATGGAATCGAAATTTGAATTAAAGCCCTTTTCGAATGTTTAGTACTGACTTCCGCTCAAAGTGAATACATAGTTTTCAAATTCAATAGCAGTTTTATGATTGGGCTGGAAGCTTGCTAAATAAGTAGCATTTTTCTGATTCCTCCAGGATCAGAAAATGATAAAATACAAGTTTGTCTAAGATAAAGTCTGCACTCTGGGATTTTTAGATTGACCATTGCGCAAATATTGCCTTGTGATGTGATTTGTGAATAGTTACTAATTACATTCACAGAAGATACTTAGTAATCACTTTTGCTGACTAACCTAAATATTGTTATACAACTATTTTTGTTTGAATCTATTGCTAGTCAGTTGGATCAATTCACTTTATTCCTAACGACCTTTTTTCAGGATGAAAGATCGCTCATAATCATACCTACCTATTCTGAGCAGTTGTTAGCTTAGAGTGGTTCTGAAGTATTTCGACAGTTTTCGAAGGATTCATAGAAAAAAGAATTCAAGGAGCGATGTTGAGAGATAGCCAATCTAGACACTATCCAATATATCATAATAGAATTAATAGGATAGGTAGTATAGTTAAAAACCTAAAAAGTAAACTCAATTAATAACCTAATATATACCTAATACCTAAGCTTTCCCAATCCCAGAGAAGAAAACACAAAACATAAATATTTTTTAAGGAATGTAAGCATTGTATATTCAATGGTGCATAAAAAAAAAAGAATAATGAATTCAGGGTTAATTACAACAAAATCTCTGTACACTTACGTAAAATAATTTTGTAAAACTACTCTGGTACTAGAGTCAAATTCGCAAAAATTATATAGTATACAGTATATGAGTAAGGCACCTATATTACTAGATAAATAGATACATAAATAAAGTAGGATTAAACGATTGGATCACTTAAGCACTATAAATAATTCTATTAAAATCGCGTTACCTATAGATCCTTATTAGGTATCTAAAATTTGCGATAAGAAAAAGATAATGAGCTAATTTGCGTTTTCTTTGTGGTAAAATAAGGAAATACAGGGTGGGGCACGAAAAACTTCCCACCTAGGTTTTCTCAGGTGGGTGATTAGTTAAAAATCGCTCGAACACGTCAATTTTTGCTTTTTGGGGGACACATTTTATTGGTATTTTCACCCCTTACCTGTCAACCCCTAAGTGGGGGTGACAGGAACCCCCAAAATTTCTAATTAAAAGGAGGTCGAGTGATACGTCATTTGATTGCTATTTTTATTAAGATTATATCCCCAAAGTTTTAAGTGGCTACCATTTACCCTGTCGAAATGGTGGCTTGTCAAAGTTAGGAAAAATCAATGGAAAAATGCTGTATGGTTTTTACCGGTTACCTACGCATAGGTGTGACAGGTATAAACTATACAGTTTCAATTATTGAAAAAAAAAGCATTTATCCTAACTTTGACATGCCGCCATTTCGACAGGGTAAACGCTAGCAACTTGAAACTTCGGGGATATTATCTTAATGAAAATAGCTACCAAATGACATTTCACTCGACCCCTCTTTCCATTCGAAATTTTGGGGGTAACTGTTACCCTCACTTAGGGGTTGATAGGTAGGGGGTGAAAATACCAATAAAATGTGTCCCCCAAAAAATAAAAATTGACATGTCTGAGCGATTTTTGATTGAACTGTATATGATTCATGTTACCAAATATCGCGAAACTCTTGTTCATTGAGATGCGGTCAATGTGGACATAGTTTATATGTTATTTCAATTTTTGTGGGTTAGCTCGAAAATAAAGTTTCTAAAAACGATTTTTTGGCAACTGGTGCAGTTGTGTGGATCGATTACGGCAAGAATTTAAACAGTTTACCCAAGAAACTATTTGGGATTTGTTTTTGTTTGGAGTGTGGGGATATTGGCAAATAATCTCAGGATTATTTTTAATGGCTGTTGAGTGGTGTCTTTAGTAGGTTTTCGTTTTGGCAAATTAGCTATTCTGGATCTATTAGTGTATCTAGGCATCCTGACATTACACCAATTCAACCTTCGGTTCCAAAAAATTTCACTTTACTTGTGAGATTTCTTCTTTTGCGAAACTTAAGCCTATAATAATGTAGCATGCTTCACACTCAAAATAACTTCATGTCACTTAATTCTCACCTTTCCACAGATGGTTGAATAAAAACTTAACCTTCTGGTCTTTTTAGGAATTATTTTTAGTTTATTTAATATAGATATACATATTGCTAAACTGAAAAATCGCTCATTTTAATTTCATTACGATATTTTAAGGACACTTGGGTAATGAATTTCAATCCAGTGAAGTTTTTGAGGGCACTTAACAGCTGGTCCTCAATTCAAGAATACCGTTTCGTTTACACCTTTTATTAAATATTTGCCGATTCAGATTGTTTAATTAATAAAGCATTATTGGAAACACATGTAAGTTTATTTCTGGTATTTCATTCTATGTATATTAAATTAATTAAAAAGGAAGCCAACCTTCTTTATTCGTAGAGTCGTTTCCTGCATCTGCTTGTGTAGAGATAATCAGATTAACCATTAAGAAAACACAGGCAAAGAATGCCATTTTTCCTATTATTGTTAGATAAATTACACTGTTTTTGAAATAGTTGTTGAATACTTCACTAAGACACAAGTAGTTTCAATAATTGATATGAAACCAATAATACACTTTAAATTACGTCTTTTTTATTACTAGTCTTTTATGTCACTTGTTAGTTAGAAACTGTCTTCTTTAAATTCACGCGCGCGTATTTATGAAAGGAAAACTCTTACCGGTAGAGTAGAAGCTTTCGTAAAAGCTCTAAACGCGGGACTGAACTCTGACTCTGAAGCGAATGAGGGAATAGCATCCGAAAATCCTGAAGAGTATCCGACAGGCGCACGCGTAAGCTCTTCACATCCCACTCGGTAAAGTTATGTATTTGCCGATTCGCATTTATTTATTACGAAACGGCTTTTCTCTTTTCATCTAGTCAGCCCTGTCACTGGGCCGTGAAGGGTTTATTCAACCCCTCTCCCTTGTTCACTTTGATGTTTGGCATAGAGATTCGACATAATGGAAACTGCATGTAGTTGTAAGTCGAGTTTCACTCAACGTTGTTTCTGGATTTGATAATTGATACTTCCGTATCTTTGTCTTAATTTGTTGTTCACAGTCAAAGACTAGTACAGAGTCAGTTTGATTCAAAAAGATACAATACGTTGTATGTCACCAATGAGTATCAGTGGCCACTTACAAAAAACGAAGTATGTCATGTAACCAGAAAAGTTCCTAAATATAGTAATATTTATTATAGGTAAACAGCAACTACAAAAATGGCATACCTATTCTGTTCTAATGATTTGCGTAAGTCCAACATGTCACCAAATATTTAAAAGTAGGAATATAGTCGTAGAATTCGTAGTCGTGGTACATGGTGATCTATTATAAATGTCACTCCCTTTTAACTTTTTCATTTGACGTTTTTGACAAAAGTATCAAATACAAAAGTTTTAAGAAATTGTCAAAAGTTTTTAACTAAAGTTCATTTCACGAAGCGAGATAGTGAAAGTAAACAAACTTTGACAGGTAAGTCAAATTTTATTGGCTAGAAAAGGATTATACTCCGCCCTAGACAGGACCGTCCTAGGTTGTTTTGTATTTCTCTTCTCTGAATATAGAACGAATTCTTCAGCGGAATCTGTTGAACCTGATATTGTTTTAATCTAAATTGCTCACTAATTAACAATAATTCACCAAACACTATTTGAATAATTGTAAAATACTAGGAAACACGACATTAAACTCATTGATTCATATGACAATCTGACAATAATAAATGTCATTAGTTGTAATTCATATTTTTGCAGTTCTACTCTGAATTTTTAAACTCCGCCTGTTTGTTTACTTCTACTGTCTCGTTCCGTAGAATGAACTTTAGTCAGTTTTAAGCATACAGGGTGTGTCAAAAGAGAACGCATTTATATTCTTTTGAATGGAACACCATGTATATTATGCGCTTATCTGTTAGTTTCCTTCCACCTGATCTCAACGATATACAGTTCCATGTGCCTACTTCAATAGTTATAGGGAAAAACATGAAAACCACTTTCAAGGTCTCATGTTGAAGAAAGAAAAATTATACCATTCAAGCTCTAGAGAGAATTATTTATAAACAGTTTATTGTTCAAATGTTATTTATTAATTTACAGGGTGAAATATTATAACAAATCCAGGTGTCTTAATTTAGTATTATTATTAAAAAAAAAATAACATGAGACATAGGAAGGGATTTTTGCGTTTTAGTTGAGAACTTTTGAAATTTTTTTTAAATTTTTGTATTTGATACTTCTGTCCAAAACGTCGAATGGAAAAGTTAGAAGGGGGTAACATTTTTAATAAATCATCCTGTACGTGTTCTCACGCTCGAATAATAGCGGAAATTCACCGTTTATACTTTTGATACTAAGTATCACTGAAACAGGTGCTACGTTCGTCTATATTGATGATCACGATGGCTTCGTACAAAACTGAGCAACGTTGTCGCGGAATCTGTAGGAACAGGTCTTACAAGTATTCCAGGTTTCCAAAACCTTATAAATAAGGGTACCAAGAAAATGTTCTGCTAACTTGTTGTTCAAGAAATACGAGAATGAAAAGCGTCGAAAACATGGATCCCATTTGATCCCTAATATTTTGATAACCAATTGATGCAGACCCAAGCAGCTCAGCGGTTGTGTTTTCGCTTTGCATGCAGTGGGTCTCGGGTTCGAATCCCGGCTAGGTGCATGGATGTTTGTTTGTTTGTTTGATTTGGTTTGTGTGTGATGTTGGAGGCTTTGTCGACAAACCACAGTGGTGGTTTCTGACAAGAAAGCAGAAAAAAAAAAAAAAAAAACAAGAGTAATTTTTGTCAAAGTAGCAAGATGTTCGAACTTCGGTAAGAGAATTATCAGCGAGAACTAGCTAGGTTCTTAGTCCGTTTGCTAAATTGAAACGAGCACTTTTTCAAGATCTGAATGAATTTTGCTTGTAAGAAGAGCGTAGACTCGAGAAAATCGCTGCCTGCTAGGAAATCATCTAGGCAATAGGGTACTTGCATGAAAAATTAAATTGATTATTGTTTATCGCAAACTGAAGGAAATCGAAAAAAAAATCGATGCGTCTTTTTTTTTGTCCTAGTACGATTATTCCGGAAGTTATACAAATATTAAGTTTTGTATATATAGATATACTGAGCATGTGCGACGCCATACATTTTAAATGATAAGTGACGTCAGCGTTGTATCTCCGTCAATTTTTGACTAAGAAGTAGAAGAAAAAGCACATGTTGACTTATTTTTTATCGACTAATGAAATCAGCGATAAAAAAAATTGATGCAAGTACCGTATTGTCTCTTTAAAGACCTTGGCTGAAGATAATGTAGGTAAGGGTAAGGAAAGATAGTGAAGCTAAGGGATGAAACAATGACAGTGACCTGGTATAAATCAAAATGTCCACATTAACCAAGATAACTTTTTGACCATATATACATCAATGAATAGGATAAATCGATAAGACAACGGTAAAAGATGTGTCAAGGCAATCCTAGGCATGACACACGCAAAAAATGTTCAAATCGACAACGGTACGGTACAAAACAAAAGATAACTTGGTTAGACAAAGGAGAAAATTGAAATGTCAGAATGAATACGAAGATAACTTTTGACAGTATATACATCAATTAAAAAGATAAAACGATAAGACAACGTTAAAAGATATTTGTCAAGGCAATCCTATACATGATACATGATAAAATGTCCACATCGGAAAGGGTAAAAAGATAAATCATGATGTATAATTAATTTCAGGATAGAAAATAAATTGATTAGACAAAGCAAAAAAATATAAATCTCATGACACTGAGGTATTAAAATCAATTGGAGCTATAGGAGAAAGAATATGTTACTATGAAAATGGGACATTTTATCAAGATTTTCCTCGGAGTGGGAAATGAGGGAAATCAAAAGCTCGCGAAGGCAGGAGCCCTGTGTTCTTGAACAGTCTATTCTTCGCCGGAATCGCTAGGAAATATTATTCGCCACCTATTAGTTTTTAAAAGAAAATTAGAGTTCGGGATTATTAAAGAAATGCGAAATTAAATTTCCAGGGAAAATATCAAGAATCAGTAGGTAGATATTATTATTGTGGAAAGTAGAAATAAATTAATTTGAATTAATTTACGTAATACTGGCATACCTAAAGTCAAGTGGTTGAGTTATGCGAAAGGCAAAGAAAAAAGATAATACCAAACTGTACAATATTTTAATGATGTTATTATGTGATATTTTGTGGCCCCACGTTAGGCGCCAATTTATGTAACCCCTTTTGTTAATAAATTAACAGGAGGCCCATAATATGCTCATCTTGCTCAGCGAATAATTATTAGGAGTGAATCGATCGATTAATAAGAACAGAATGGCAAGAGCGCCATTGAATTTAAAAATAAATAATTAAATTACATAAAATATTGAAGTGTGAAAAATCGAAAACACACCTAATAGTTATTAGGGTATCAAGGGTATTATAAGGATATTAACGCTTGAGGTCAATGGAGTATAGTACAGGGTGGCGCAAAATGAACGTTATGATTTGAATGCTTTATAACTTTTTTATTTTTAAGTGAATTGTTAATATATTTTTTTTTAAACACAGCTTATGAATGGAGAAAATGTTTGACTCAAATGTGAAAAATGACATCTCGCAAGTGTCTGCCATTTTCTGCTTCGCAAAGTCGTGCACTTTCCGACAAATGTTGCATAACTTTGTGCAAAATTTCAGGAGCTATGGCACGGATTTCATTACGTGGTCTCCACGGAGGTTCCCTACTAAACCTTGTTGCTGAAAATTTGCAACCAGACGATTTATTGTTGACACGGAGGGTCCAACACGCACATTAAGATACCGACGATATGCACGCTGCGTAAGAACAATAATTGAGTTTCCATTCGCAAAGTAAAATTTAATGATTTTTCGTTCGTTGTTGTATCGTTTATTCCATTTTAAATTCCCCAAGTCTTCTTTACAAAATACTAAAACGAAAGAGAAATTAGAAATTTTGATAAAAAAGTTATAAAACAATCAAATCATAACGTTCATTTTGTTCCACCCTGTATATATACGTTGACCGAAAGCATTAATATCCTCAATACTTAATTCCCGTGGTGCCTTCAACGTTTAATTTCCGACTTAATTATTTTTTATTTCAGAAAATTTTGAATGAATTTTTAATAAATTAATCTAAAACAAATCAAGTACCTGCAAAAAAAAATAGTCATAACGCCCTAGGGCGTTATTTTTGAATAACGCCCTAGGGAATTATTTCGTATTTAACTAATTTTGACATAATATTTCTCGAATAATATACCAGTCGGACATTAATATAATAATTAGCAAACGGTAATTGATAATTTTGAAAAGGAAAAGAAATAAGGCATACAACTCAACCAAATCTTGACATACCTAGGTAAAACCAATAAAACACTCGAACAATTTCAAATCATAATGGTATATATTTTCACAGTCAGGTTAAAAATGAAGTATTCAATTTTCGACGATGCAGGTACTCACTTGAAAATTTTAAAGTTAGAGCATGTTGTCCAACCTTGACTTCAGTTTAGATTATTAATTATGAATAATAAAATTAAATTACATTCTTTAAATATGACAGTAGTAGAGATAAAACCTATAGTAAATACGGTAAATAGAAAATCCAGAAAATTAATTATTTCAACATCACCTCGGTGTCAAGAATGTGAAATTTTAAATATGTGAATGTAAGTCATATCAGAGAATAAATGGGGAGTTGCAGATTAAAGTTGCAGATTCTATACTGGAATCAAGGTAGAAAGAGACGCTAGAAGTTCAGTTTTCTTCGTCAAATGTGGACGCACAGGTATCGACACGTGAGGAACTTGATTCCTCTAGGAAATCACTTCATGAGCTTTAGACCCACGCTCAACGGAAATGGTGTTTTTTAGAAATGTGGGCTTGTTGAGAATGGATTCCTCGAGAGAAACGGCTCCTCGGAAAACGGCTCCTCGGAAAACCTACGAGGGGGTTTGAAATTCGAACTCAAATAAAACGGTAATCACAAGACTTTCGATTTAAATTTTTTCGGTATTTAATGGATTATTACCTTAGGTAACTTCATTTCAATAAAATAGTGCCTGATGACCCGCATGACCGATAAGGTACTTTTTTTTCCACGAGTACAGTTGTCTCAGGAAGATGGCGGTTTTCAGCACAGGATCGACCTTTCCAGGACGAACGACAAAATTTGAAAGGGGCGAGGAAAGAAACGGACAAGATGAACACGCAGAGCTTCCCCTCAAAAAACAGCCAACGGAAAGTGTTGGTACTAAACTGGTACTTCAAACTTAAACGAAAATCGTGCCCTCTAATTTAATAATTGTTAATATTATTAGCAGCAGAAACCTTTTTATTTACAATCATACATGTAATGTTGATTTTACTGACTTTTGAAAATGTCACTTTTTTGACTTTCACTTTCGGCCCACGGGTCGAAAGTTTACTTTCGACCCGTGGGCCGAAAGTAAATGAAATTTTCAAAATTTATTGTATTTTTTGACTTTTACTTTCGGCCCAAGGGTCGAAAGTTTACTTTCCTCCCGTGGGCCGAAAGTAAATGAAATTGTTATTTATTGTATTTTTTTAGTTTTAACTCAAATAAAAATTTCAAAATTTGAATGATTGCAAATAAAATAGTATACATACCTCGGTGAAAAGTTTTATTACTGTCTCGAGACTTTAGTTAGACCTCGGCTGCGCCTCGTTCTAACTAAAATCTCTCGACAGTAATGAAACACTTTCCACCTCGGTATGTAATATACTATTTTTTAATGCTAGTCACCAGACTGTCAACATGAAAGGTAATAATTTAACTTATTAAACTATATTTGAAAGAAAATGAAACAAGTAGCATTTGCAATGCTACAACGATTAGGTTCAATAAGAAGGGAGTTGCCACTACAGACGCGCTGAGATAACGATGTGAAAGACGAAAGACGACACGGGTTCTAAGACGCAAGGTTCGTTTTCCAAACACAAAAAAGCGACACGTGATACGTAAGAGGAATCGGAATTGGAAACCTAAGTTATGTGACGACTGGCTAGGATTTTGAAGTAATATTGCTTCAGGCATATGAAATCGACCGTAATTGGGTGTTACTGTCTCCCAGATTAGGGTTACGATGTTTAAATGGCAAAAGTATCGCAAAAATACTAGAGAGTTTGCAATATGTAACTGCTTTGTATAATCTACAAGAATTTTTCCACCTGTATTTCCAGATTTCTGACATTCACGGAAATATTATGGACAGTTTAGTAGAGTACATAGTGGAAGGTTAAATGAGAAACGACAGGCTGGTTCACCTTGGAGAGTGTATGCGAAAATGGTTTCCATCGCATTTCCGGAAACCCAAGAAGAACGGGAAAAATTCATCGCCTATGACCGCATCAATTCTCGCAAGGGTGTAAGGTTTTCTATCTGCAAGTTGATGATTCCAAATGTGGAAATGGTTGGCATACCATTTACACAGTGCTTCCTTGAAGACTGAAGTACTGAACAGACACTTCAGAAATAAAGTTTGCCATGGTCTACAAAAATATTCACTATCTGAAAATGGTTTGAAGCATCTAGCAAGTCAAGTTAACTATCGAAAGCATGATAATCGATAAATTATTTGCCAGTGTTGACAGCATTTGGAACAGCAGATGCCTGACTATATTGGCACCTGTTCGCTACTGAGCGGATTTAGTGTCCCTGTTTGGAGTGAAGTGAAACAAAGTATGAAGGGATGCTGTCAGTGCTGAGCCAATTCGACACCGTCCAGTGGATCCACAGTTTCAAACTTCCGGGTTGATTGTTTGTGTACTCTAGGATCTAGGATCTTTCCTGTTCCAAATTTATTTTAGTCCAAGGTCGATTCACCTATTCCATGGCTAGAAACAAGTAGCGCGTTCAAATGTACTAGCACTACTCAAAAGATCTCGTAGGCTATGTGGTGCTACATTTCAAGTAGGTCTTCTTATTTCGACCATACTTCAGAAGTCATTGCAATCCAATCAAACTCTTCCACTTTGTTCTCGTCCCTTCTCTCATCCTTTTATTCCAGTGAAAATGGAAAAGCTGGTATTTACAAAAAAAGAATCTTATAAAAACTGTCATAAATAATTTACCGATCTTACGAACTAGCAATTCAACAGCATGTTAACTTGAAATTTTTCAGTTTTCACCTGAGTCCAGAATATTCCGACAATTTATATGAACGTTCACACACATTCAACAAAAAACCAGTCGAATTTCTCAACTTATATAGCGATACCTAAAGATATTCAGCAGTTTGTGATAAGTCTACTTAGAAACAGCAAAAGTTTTTTATGAAATATGTTGTGTTTATAATTATTAGTGAATCAGCCACTTTTCACTTACTGATATCATTTAGTTTTGCTTGGTCTTGCTTAGTCTCATTACTTGTTCAAAAAAGCTGTGTACTAGAATTGTTTCAAGCTTCTTTCAATTAAATTTGATCGCAATACTACTTTGTAGGTGTTCCTCCGCAAGACCGCAAAAGCTTCGTATTGAATTTTTAAGTTGCTCTCACAGAGTAACATCCACCGCATACAGAGTAACCCAAACAAGTTCAGAACAAGTTTGTTCACAAAGTAAAAAAGAACAATCGTCTTTTTCGTATAACTTTCGACGTGTTGAAAACACTCCAAGTCAATTTAAAAAACCGTTTACATGCAGTTGCAACACGAACGTAAAACTTATAGTATCGAGCGTTACGAAGGCGGTTTGTTAACTTAATAGATATTCCAGCCGCACTGATGCTATTTACTTGAGAAATAAGACAGATAAATGGCTATCAACATAGCCAGAACAAGGAGTAAATTGGTAGTTAGTTATTGCATGGCCAATCTTTCGTGTTTGTATTGGGTATTTATTTAAAGAGCTAGAAGCTTCTTATAGGCACATTGTCTAATATTGAACACAAGCCTAATACATCGAAAACCAAAACTTCATTTTTCCACTGTGTAATTAGAAACGAAATACCTAAGTTCAAACATCTCAAGAGATTCCAGTGATATCTTTTCCAATGCCTGTTTTTCTTATTCTAGTCCCAATTGCGTTTAGATTTGGCGGATTGGTGCCACTTCACAAAAAAATATTCACATGCACTACAATGAGCTGATATATATTCCTTTTAGTTGGTTTTCGCAAGTTAAGCGGTCCTCTCCACACTGTACGGTTATCGATCGCTGCACACTACATGTTGTTCATTTATATTCCGAGTTCTATAGCAATGTAATTTTGTTTGTTGGGTGAGTGCGTCTTAAAAATATTTTATTCCCGAGAAGCCTTTCGCTGACTACGCGACGTATTCTGCGGAGGCTTGAGTAGGCAACATAAGAGTATTTATAGAAGGTATGTACTGCCTTGGAAGAACTTGTTTGTGGACATTATTCAATTCCTTATCAAAATATTTATAGGAAAGATTGCTGTCTGTTAATAGAAGAAATGACACTGCATTTCAGTTTTTTTTTAACTTAATAAATTCCTGAGAACAGCAAACACTTAAATACGTACTTCATTATTTTCTAATTTTTGAAAAAATTGATATATTTAATATTTAAATGCATGATGTTTTATCCTCACTATTTGTATTTGATGATGCACCGTCATTCTCATCATCATCATCATCATCATCTTCTTCCTCTTGAATCAATTTTCTAGCCAGTTGAAGGGTATAAAATTCGTTGTAATGGTTTTTCCTAGAATCTTTGTTATTGCATTCATTATTTTTCAATTAACCTTTATCATACCTCTTCAATTCAAATTCCTCTCTCTTCATGTTATTCTCATCATGTGGTTGTTCATCTTCATCATAATCATCTTCTTCAAGTAATTTCCTAGTCAGTTGGAGGGCATGGAACTCGTTGTAATGGCTTTTTCTAGAAATTATGTCATTCAAACTCGTTAATTTAATTACCTAATTAATCTTCAATTGTTTTTCATCTCACCTATTCAATTCAAATTGTTCACATTCCATTACCCCTACTTGAGTATCTTCACCATCTTCGTCATACAATCCAGGCACAAAAACTATCGACGATTCGTCTGCTGTACTTTTCATTTTCGAATCTATTTGATATACGTCTTTGCCAGTTGGAGGATGTCTTTTGATGATATTCGTTTCGTCCCATTCCGTTTCCTTAGAGCTTCCGAGAAGAAATTTGATATAAATTTAGTTACTTGGAAATAAAGAAACAGTTCTAAATATGTTCAGTAAAGTTTTGTTTTAATTCGAGAAGTTGATTAAGCATAGGAATTATCATTTTAAATCCTATTCTTATTCCAATTATATTGAATATTGATGACTTAAGTTTTCTGTAAATTTGGGAACTTACTCTGCAGATGGTTGAGAGTGTTGTTTATCAAAATTTTTAGATTTTTTCAAAATGCCCTTATCAGGACTTTTCTTATTTTCTGACATTTTTGACTCGCGATGTGTAGTTGTGACAATCATGAAAGACCAGTAGATCGCTTACAGGCATGTCAAAAAAGTTAGCGTATAATACTTGTACCTTTAGGTTAGAAAATGTCCTAAAAATTTACGGTACTATGCGCGCTACTTTTTTGCAACTCAGTATAGAATTAGCAGAGGAGTTATGAAAGCGCCCTTGGATGAAAACGCAAACCCTCTGTGGAATAAGGTGAAGAAAATCAACGCCATGGAGCAGGAAAAAAAAAATTGATGGAAGAAGAGCCTCATTGCAGATAATATTAACGCATACAATAATGGTCAATTGTTTGGAGAACTTTTCAACCAGTATCTATAAGGACTTTTTCAGCTTGCAAATGGTGTCGTTCTGATAAGGAAATTGAAATTTCTTCCTGCACTTCTAAAAATTCTAAGAAAAAATTAATTTTTTGAATTGAATAAAAAATATTCTAATATGTTATTATTAAAATTGATGTAGTACGTAGTTGGTTCGATAACTGAAAAATATTTAAAAACAATACGAAGAGCTTTACGCTTCAAGAGAATTTTACCTACCGCGAAAAACAAAGAAATATTTCACAAATCAAGAGAAGTGAAGTCGCTTTTTTGCAAAGGAATGCACTTGCCACAAATACGTTCGGCTTCAAGAGCAACGAGAGTAGTTTTCGTGCGATTGCGTAAAGCTTGAAAGGACAAAAATGTGCTCTAAACCTAGAGACTTTTGCGATATTAAAAAAGTTACTCTGCTAAAATTTATTTTTTTCTGTGTTTTCTATCTTTTTCATCGACGAAAAAGAAAGAGAATAGCAGTTTCTTATAGTATTCTATTGACTATTCAATTAAAGGAATTTTATGTATTTCTCCAAGGATATTTGGAGTTATAAATTTAATAGTTTAACCATTTTTTTTTATTGCTCCATCGATAGCTTTCTTTTGATTGAAAGCTATCGATGAAGCTCGTAAGTAACTAAAATGGGCTTTTTCCCTAAAATTTAAATACGAAATTTGAGCATAAAATCTGTAATGAGACACTATTTCAGGTATATTGTTCAAAAAAAAAAATTATTTACGGCATAACTCTATCCTGCTTTAGAATTATTGAGCGTAGCATTCAAATTTGTTTTTATGTTATGTAATTCTAGACATATTTTCTAGTATCGTTACAATCCTTAAACTTAGAAAAGTTGGATATATAATTAAATATTTTCTGTAAAAATTTATATTTAAACGAAAACTCTCTATTGACACGAATTTTAAAAAATGTGAGCCAGACTAAAAGTTTTTAGTGAAGGTAAAGCCATTCGGTGTAATGGGTATTTATCTGATGCAATCCATATAATCTCGAAAAGGCGACAATGAGAAACGATGTTGAATAAAACTCTTATATTTTTCAAGTGGTTTTTTTTAACTTTGGCCCTTCACTTATATAAAAGACAAAGACCCCCTGTAATAATAACTTATGTGTTCGTTTGATAGGAGATTTATAGGAACAAAAAACTTTAGAAGACGGAGTACAAGAGTTCATAGCCATGCCTATCAAATGACATCAGTCCAGTATATTTTGAATTTCGATAACATTTTTAGTACCTACCTAGTTGACTATTTGGTGCTTGAGCGTGAATTTGAAAAAGTAAGAGCAGATAACTTCAAATGGCCAAATCTAGGCCCAAAGGTTAGGTACTATTACTGTTAAGTTGTTAACAATTATATTAAAACATTTCCGATGCACCATTGAATCCAGCATCATCAATAAGCTGATTTAATAATCCGTTCTGCAAATATGTATTTGACCATTCCCAGGCTTTCAAACAAAAAGGCTTGAAAAGCAACATGAAATAAGATGTTGGATCAAACTTTCCCACATTATCTGAAAAACGGTAAATTTGACATTCTAGGCAATATTGCTAATGCCATCATATCGATCTTTCCTTGTGCCCTCCTGTAGCAAATTATAACTTTTTCAATCAATCGTTTTTTACATACGAAACTATTCTGGAACACCCTGTAGTATAACATACCCGGGTTCGTTCAGTAAGATTGAAAGATGAGAATTTTTATTACCTTTAAACAACAAATCTTCTGAAAAATTAAATGAAAAACAAATAAGACCTACGTTGTGGAAACTTACTCAATTTTACTTACCGGACATGCGCCCGACATAGCAAATATTAGGGAAATTTAAGGGAGGTTGTGATATGTAAAAGAAACAAAAAATTTGTGAAACGTCTACTTTATTATTAAAGTAAATCGTACTGTTCTCATCCTGGAACTAACGGGGGGAAAGAGCACGGCAGAGAATTCCTTGATCTAACATTCCTTAAAAATCGAAACATACTGTGTTATTTTAATAATAATTGTGAGTCATTAATTCAATAATTCAAGTCAATAAAAGTTTAAATTAGGTACCATCCTCTGTCTTTGTACTAAAATTTCAATTACACAAACTACATTCAATCAACACTACCTATATTTAATACTGAAGAGTTTTTGGTTAGTTAGCCCATCTGTGGCAGGTACTGAGGTCCCTGGTTACGGTAACTCACAGCTATAGTTATTTTTGAGCCAATATCTCTAGATTGATTATTTCAATTTGTTAGGATATTCTCTCGTCAGGGTAGGAAAATGTTAGTGCATTCAACAAGGCCCTAATGCATGCTCTAAATCCAAAAATCAAAATCCCAGCACAAAAAGACAGCACATAATTTCTTAGGTTTTAATTTACTTCATTATCGGTGTTGTTTACAGCATGAAACGATTTTTGTTAAATACATGAACAATGCACATGTTATAAAAAAAATGTTATAAACAAACAAAAAAACATAAAAATGGAAAAAATGATACTCGCATAAATTGAACTCTCACAAACAAAATAATAATTATCTTACTGACCTGGTGATCGCTCCTTGACACACACACTAATAACAAATTGGATTGAACAATCAGTTTATTGCAAAATAAAAATAAAAATTGAATAATGAATACTACAGCTCGTTCTGTAGTCTAGTTGCGTATTCTCTTGTAACCCCTTCGGTTTCGGTACTTTCGTTTTCCGTGGCGCGCTCGTTCAATCCTAAACTTGAGGGCGCATACATGGTTGCAACATTCACTTTTATTCAGTAAACGTTTTTTTTTTTTTTTAGTTAAGATTTTAAGAAATAATATTTTAAATAGGTGGTTTTCCTCAATCCTATAATTAGAAGTATATTTGGCACCTATAAATTCAAATCAAGTTAAGAAAAAAATACTTATAGGTATGAAGAAGAGGCAAAGTTTTTGTAATGGTGTGAAATTTATTGAATATCAACCGAGCGCTTTCGGCCTATTGAAGGGCCATCTTCAGGGTCGGTCCTGAAAAAGTGTATATGATCACTATGATCTCAACAGTTCTATTAAAATTAACTCGAACTTACTCGTCAGGTCTGTATGGAGGAGATAAAGTAACAGAAAAACAGCATGAGTTCGATCAAACTTGCATAGAATACAAACAAACCAAAGGGCAAAAACCGGAACGCTCAATTACCAACAAACAAATTACATTCAGGCTTTCTTGAAAACAAAAACTTTTCTTATTATTGTGATTACGTCTTTCTTTTTTTGGATTTCTTGAGATTTTAAAATGTTTGCTTTCTCACATGAATCACATACTGACAGAGGAAGATGACTTAGGGCCGGTTTATCAATCAAGGGATAACTCGCAGATTTGCTGAGTCTGGGTCAACACTTTGGGCTAACTACCTAGTTAAGTCGAAAGGGGTTTATCCAAGCTTTTTTAACATAGGGCTGGTAAACTCTCGGGTTCTTCGAAGGTTGGCATTACTTATGCAATGTTGCCAGCTGATTTTCATTGTTTTTTGACATTTTCTGCTCATAACCTTACTTATTTATGTTATTTTTTTCTTTTTTTTCCTGTTTTCGTAGCAGAAAGTGCGGTTTCGTATCTTCTGTGTAAAAATATACAATATGGGTAGGTACTCGAATTCGCATCAACAAACAGGTTTATTGGGAATTAAGGTCTATGCTCGATTTGTTCTAGAACAAATAAAATTGTTTTTTTTTTCACAAGCGAAAACGTGCGAAGAAGTGGACGTCGTCAAAAGGTCTGTTCTCATAGATATCACAAACCAATCAGAGCGAATTTCATTGGTTGAAAATAATCAGAAAACTGTTTTTTGGCGATTTGCATCATAATCGATCTGACTGATTTGTGATTTCTGTGAGACCAGACTCAATATCGTCAATGGGATTTGACCGCAACCTTACGTGGTAGAGGCGACGCTCATGCATTTTCTTGAAATTTTAGAACATCTCGATGATCATCACTGAAATCTGGGTTCTCCATCCTCCATCTCTTCACAATATCAAAATTCAAGTCAAAACCACAACTTTTTAAACCCCATGAGTTACGGATAACCTTGGGTCAAAGTTGTGACAAGAGTTTATGCATTCAGGGTCAACTGCTAACTCGAAAGTTAATCCAGGAAAAAGTAAACCCGCGCTCTCACGGCTAGTTAGCGTATTTGACCCTGGGTTAACCTCAAATTTTTCTCTTATTTTTATCTAATTTAAAAAAAAAAAAAACAGTGAGGTACCAAAATCAGTAGAACTCGAGTCACGAAGAGACCAAGGCGTGTGACTTTAGCGGAGTCTATATATGACCCAAGCCATCGCAAAGACGGAACAGCAACAAAACAATATTGAATTTCTACTTTTATTCCCACCTGAACTCCCTTCAAAGACAAATCATCAAAACAAATCGAACAAGACAAACAAAAACCAGCCGGAGGGTTAGACTTGCAAGCGCTAAGAAGGTTCACGTCCGTTTTTTTTACCGACCACCCCAAGGAAGTTCCAACGATGACTCCAAAATGACAGTTTTGCATAGAAAAAAGTCACTGCCAAGAACACTCACCATCGAGGTCCCCCCAAGAAAATGAGCTACGTCAAGTTAGCCCCCCATAACCGATTTTTTTTGGTAGAAATCAGTTGGGCTAGAATTGTGCTGAATTGTGCTGTCAATATTAGGAATTGTGCTATTTTGGTAATTGAGTTATTTACAAAAAAGTAGAGGCGGACTAACTTGATGCTTAGCCCGCCATTTTTTTAAATTAGTATTTGCCTTAAGAATAAGAATTGTGTTGCACATATTTTCCTCATACTTTATATTCCATTATTCCATTTTTTGTTCAAACATTATGGAGGGGCTAACTTGACGCTATGCCCCACCATTTTTCAAAATTTTACTTCAAAGAAAATGTCTTTTTCGAAAATCGGAATTGTGCTGAATTGTGCTGCACATATTTTCCCTCATGCTTCATTTCCTCACCCGATTTTTTTGTTTAAACATTATGGCGGGGCTAACTTGATGCTCTGCCCCCCCCCCCCATTTTTTTTGAATTTTGAATTAAAAAA